TTTTGGATCAAATTTAAGTATCATTACTTTTCGTTAGTTATTCTAAAAATTATTTTAGCTTAACTAAGCTCTTATTACTTATTTTTATTTTAAAATATTATTTTGGTTATTTTGTCACAGTACACAGTATCGAATAAAAGTCAAGATAGAGGTAGGATTTTTTTTATCTTTTACTATCATTGATACATTTCATGCATATTTAGGGGTTTCATATCAAATTTATTTTTAATAATGTAATATTATATCGCTATAATCATGGGGTCAAACTGAGATTTTATAAATAAATCGTTATTATGCACATTTATTTTTATTTATATCGAAACCCTAATTCTCTTATGAAATCATGTTGCATAATAAATATTTTTTTATTATTTAATGTTTAATTTGTTGTTGGGTCTGACTACGATATGATTTTATTTTGTAATTTTGATGAAATTACTATGAATACACATAATCGAGGGCAGAGGGTTGGTAGATGCATGATTCTGCGAGAATTCACAGGATTCCTACTAGTCTTTGGTTTCACTGATTAGTAATATCAGTTGTCGTGGTAGCCTGTGTGGCACCACATAATTTTTGGTATTGGTGTTTCCAGAAAAGTAAGAAGGACATTGGGTTTCCTAGGGTGCAAGACCCCAAAGTTTTCTCCGAAGGCGGTTCATGTGTGGACTAGAAAATTGACGGATTTATATGATCGATATGTGCTGAAATTTATTTATTTATTTGATTCATTACATTGCCCTATTCCTGCGTTTATCCTTTGTTTAACTATATTATGCATTATTTTAAAACCTTGGTAGTCATTAATAAAAATTATCCTACCGAGCTGGTGAGCTCATCCCTATCTAACATTTTTTAGAAATATGAAGCTGGGTTGGAGGATAGGCTGAAAGGATGATGGATAGAGTTTTTCATTATTATTTCTCTTTATATTGTATCAAGAATATTTGAAATGATCATATGAGGATTATGTACTCGTACGCGGAATATAATAATACAAAAAAGGTTATCGTAATTTCGGTGTGATTTTATTCTTTAATCACGCTCGGGTATTTTATTTTACAAAAAAATTTGGGGCGTGACAAACATGCTGGCCTTCAAAACGAAAAATAAAACCTAGTCTCATTAAGCTAGTAACTAACAACAAATTTCGTCGGATTCTTGGAGCATATAATACATCATGAAGGTATAAAGTGCAGCTGTGTCACAATTCCAGTTTGTATGTGTCAATCTCAAGCACATCTATACTGGTCTCGTTCCCCATGTAAATTCGTTTGCTTCTAGCTGAAACTCGACGGTACTTCACAAATTCGAATCTGTGTCATGTTATGTAGTCTGTTGCTCCTGACTCTACAATCCATGAATTAGGAGATTGAGCAACAAAAACTTGACTAGTAACTAACAGTCAATGCGAGAGACAAAACTAGAGAGTTCCTTCTTCGGCTCAGTGCATTCACAAGCGAAGTGACCCTTCTTATTGCAGTTATAGCAGACCATATTGGCTTTATTCTTCTTACCAGTTCTTTTACCCCACTTGTGCTTGTTATAATTAGAATGACCAGCCCCAGTTTGAGCATCAGACCTTTTTTCACCGCGCTTCTGCTTGGACCCGAAGGTCTTACGTGAGCCAACTTTAGCCACATAAGAGCTACTCTCACCTTTGGTAGCCTCCAAGCATTCAGTCTCAAGCTCAAGGTGATGCGATATATTCTCGAATGTTTTTACAATTTCATTATGCATCATGTTTCGTTTCATATGCTCCCATGATGGAGTAAGGGAGCGAAGTACAACTTGAACCTGTTGTTCATTGGTTAACACATGACTAGCAACTGCTAAATCATGTATCATAGAAGTTATAGCTCTCAAATGTTGTTTCATTGTATACTTTGACTTCTTTTGATAGGAGTCAAACCTTATGGTCAAACTACGAAGCCTAACAAGAGAAGTAATACCAAACTTCTCTTTGACGGCCTTCCACATGGTGTGAGCTGTGGAGTAATTCTCAAATTCAGGAATAATATCATTTTACATGCTTTCTTGCATGATATAGCGCATAAGTCGATCCTTATTCTGTAAAGACTAGTAGTTCTCTGGCTCTTAGCAAGTTTGAGGCTGCTCAGGCTCTGGCAGCACAAAGTAAAAGGTATCCAAGACTTGTTGCTCATATAGAACATCTTACGACGCCATATGTCAAAGTTATCGCCGTTCAATTTGTCACCCTTCGTTAATTTAGCCACTATACTTTTAGTAATCATTATGATTTAATCTACATGCAGAGACAATGCGTATGTGATATTGGCACAACACATTTTATAATTTTGCCGCAAAAAATCTAAATTCAAGTATTAACAACTTTCACAAGTCACAAGATCGAAAGTTTACTAAGTTCCCAATTATCTCCCGCACCACAAGTGATTATTAATAATACTTAATTTAATTAATGTGCAAAAATTCAATTTCCTAATACCGAACAAAATAAAACTCCCACTAGATCTAGTATCTTTAGGCATACTGATAACAATTAATTTCATATCATGCATGTTATCAATAAAATAAACATGCTATTCTAAATAACACTAGATATGAAATTCTAATTTAGATCATGTTAAACAACAAAATAAATACAACTAGTATATCCATCATACTAACATTACGCAATATAAATTAGTCATAGGCTACATAAGCAATTACACATTCATTTCAATTTTTTAAACAATTAAAATTTGATCTCATAAATAATTGAAATAGACCATGATCTATTCTTTTTTAAACAACAGAGTCATTTGATAAAAGAGAATTACATTAAAATTCATCTTTTATTTTAATGCTACTGATCGACGTGAAAAAAACACACTATATATCTCCACAAGTTTCATTAATTCATGTGCTTATATGACAACAAAAAATAATGAGTCAATAGTCACAAACACAATGGGTCCCACAAACCTATGTGCATTTATAAGAAATCTGTCACCCACAAGTTTCTTCTCAATGCTATATGTGTAGTGTTTTATGGCATAAGAAACTTCCCAATATTTAAGAACAATTCTAATTCCTTACTACTAGACAACGATAATACTTATGAAAAATAGAACCGCATCATACTTTGCCGCAAAACGTGAAGTCTTAATCAATTCATTGTGATTTGGCGATGGTCCCAAATAAGGGTTGGTTTGAAAATAATTCCCAAACTCAGGTAGTTTTAAGACCTGCGATGGTGGTACTGCGATGGTGGTGCTGCGATGATCGATGGTGATGATCGTGCAAATGGTGATATTTCGATTTCTTTCGCCTGAAATTAGGGCTTAGATGGGGGGGGGGGGAGAAGGGAAATAAGAGAAAGGAAATGAGAGAGGTGAGAAAAATTGGGGTCTAGGTCCAACTTTAAAACGTTAGTACAACTGACGTTTTTAAGGCCCCTGAAATGTCACTGTTCAAGCTTAAAAACGTCAGTTGATCTAACGTTTTTGGGAATTATTTTCAAACTAATCTTTATTTGGGAATTTTTTTTCAAAAGCCTATGGGATGGGTCAAAAGCTCTTAAAATTAATGGTCTTATTTTTCCTTTTTAAAAAAAAAATTAAAATTTCAATTTTGTTCTCAAATTGTGAGACCCACAATTTTTTTTTTCTTCAGATTTGTTCAACCATGGATCATAATGTCCTAGAAATTTCAAGGCATTTGGAGACCGTTTGTTCAAGATACCATTAAAGTCCGTTCAAAACTTTTTTGCAAATAATATTTTTAAACAATTGATTATTAATTCTAAAGATACGAGAACACCCTAAATGACTTTGATACCAATGTTGAAAATCGTATATATATTGCAGAAGTATAGGATCAAAGACATATCTTGTTCGTTTTAATCCTAAATATCGTTTGAGGATGTTCCACGCACTTTAGAATTTGAAAATTGTCTTTTCTTCGATTACTCGAGTAGTATAGTGTTGTTACATAATATGAATCAACACCAAGTTTCCATAGCATAAAAGTCTTTTAACATTATGTAGGAAGAGAGAGAAATAAAGTAGGAGATTTTAACGTTTGAGTATTTATCAGAGAGATATTTCATCTATTAGATTACCTTGGGTTTATATAGACAAACAATATGTGTCATTAATAGACACATTATATAGGGACATGTATGTTAATATTTAATAGACATGTATTTTGGGTGAATGAAACTTTTTGGTAAATGATATCTCTAAAAGACATGGCCATTTGGGCATTTTTTAATTTGGGTTAACCCACCATGGGCGGTTAGGGTCCATGACCCAACCAATATCTAACAGTTTTAATCGTGGTTAAATTTTAATTTTTTAAATATAATAACTGAGTCTATTTATATTTAACCACCACAATAAAAAGTGTTTTGCACGCGTACACCGTAGTTTGTTTAAATGAAAACTGATTTGATAAATAAGTTACATTTAGTTATATTTTTCTAAATAAATTATTTTAAGCGCAAAATAAAAATAACTTAATTACTATTATGCAAAAATAATTTGATGAATTTAGTACATAAACAACAAGCTTAAAATTCGTGTAATTTATCATACTTTATATGTAACTAAAAGTAACTCGTGTCTAAAGATATGATATAATGTAAGTGAGAAATGATGGATTTGGAGGAACAAAGTTCAAATGATTTTGAGAGGAATGTTAAAGGCCGTTGAATGAGTCTATTTGAGACCGTTAGTTGAATTTATTGAAGTCTATCCTATTTTATATTATAGATAACAGATTAAGGTTAGAAGAATGGACTAGCTGCGCAGGCCCTATTTATAAGAAAAAAGTAGAAAAATATAAAAAAAATTATGCTTCAAAAAACTATAAAATAGTAAAAAACAATTCTATTCCAAGATGATAGGGACTCGGTTGGACTTGGGCCCATTCAGTATATGATCAATGGCCAGTAACAGTGTTCACGTGGGAGGCGTGACCAGTCAAACGTGTGAAAAAGGGCAACCAACCACGCACCAGCAGAACCAACCAAAAGCGGGAAACTTCGAATAAGGAAAACCAAACCCAGTGGTTCAACTCCAAACAATTGGCACCTTATTTAGTTTATGTTTTTGTTTTTGACCCTAGAAAGATTTTCTTCAAGCCCACAAATGGAGGAGGTTAGGGCTACCACAGCCTGGGTCGCTGCTCACTCTTCCCACGTCACCGTCGACTCCTCAGGTCCTCTCCTTCTCTCTCTCTGTCTCTTCGACTCTTGTCAATTAGGTCACCGTTTACTACATATCTGTGTTGGATTTGGAGCTACATTCATTTTGCATATAGTGGAAAAGAAATGGATAGGAAGATGAGTGTTGAGTTTGATGCTCTGTTTTGAAGATGACATTTATGTGTTTCTACGCTATTTCTTTCTATTATTGAAGATGATATGTATGAGTTTATGTGTTTTGAGGATGATGTTTCTATTCTTGGTGTTGTGAGTTCGTGAGAGATTGTATTGTAGACCGATTTCGAAGTGAATGGTTGTGGTTTATGCGCAGGCATTGAGAAAGTAGCGGAAACTATGAAAGATTCGATTCCTAAGGTGGAATGGGATTTCGAAGGAATTCATTATTTTGATAATGGGCCGCTTACTGTTCAGTATTTGCTTGTATTGGATACATTGAATTTCTGTTTCTGGCCAGGTACTTTTACTTGGTCTTTATTAGTCTTCTATATATAGTATGAAGCAAATAGCTTCAATTTGGTTGTTATTGGACATAGTTGTGTATAAAGTTTCCTCAATGATGTTTATTTGCAAAGGTTAAAAAAGCTATTATTCTAGTTGGCTGGAGAAGACTACCGCAACCAAGTGTACAGAGATTGGTAGTAAATGGATTCTGGTGGGAGTGCTATATGCTGTTGTCGAGTAATTCCAATATATTCTTACAAAATGATTATACCATTGGTTGCAAAAAGCTAACGAAAACAACATAAAACGAATTGAAGCTACCTTCAGAAATATGATAGTTGCCAAATTCGAACAATAGGCCTTGTCTTTGCTTGGGTTCTAGTCTTCTAAATCTTCTTGGACAATAACCTGTACCTGTTTGTTTTAGTGATTAAGTGTTCCAGAGCTGCTATGCCCTTGAATGTAGGGCTGACTGTTGTTATTAGGCTGAGTTTCCTTATTTGTCAATGAATTTCCCCTTTTGCCGGGAGGACTGTTGAGTAAAGGTTTGCAATGGGATGGATTCCACAAATTCCCCGTTTCAGGAAATGAAAATTGACCATACTCTCCCAGAGTACTTAAAATCAGAGAATAGATCACTATGAGATTCTATTGCTGATGCCAAATACATAGTGTCTCCATGTGAGAAGGCTTGTTTTATATCTTTGTTACTGAGTTTCTCCTTACTTGCTGTTGCTTTGCCATTCTTGATTGAGTTGATCATTAAGCAGCTTGACTTGACTGACTCGTAATTTGCTGAAGTCTACTCAGCTAAAATCAGATCTCAAGCATTTCATGTATCTCAAGTTAATGGAAAATGCTACTTTTTAATGCTTACGTGTTCATCGCTTGTTTCTTATGGAATGATAGACAAGGATCTAAATTATGATCATTTGGCTATGGGACTAAAGGCTGCTCTTCAAAATGACGAGTGCGCATTTGATGCTGATCGTCTACAAAATTATACTGGTAATCAAGCTTTATCTTGAACCTTTTATTGTTGGCGTCCATTTTGGTGTTTTCAGACATAGGGTTTAAAATGCGCAACGGTCCCATATATCAGTGCTAATAAAAAGTGCAGCCATGACAGCTGTTACTGAGTGTGACACTCCCTTAATGGCCTGTTAATCCTTTTGTAACAGTATTCCTGTAACAACATCAAAATAATTGAACTTGGGGGAAGAAGAAAGCGAGTAAGGAGACAACAAAGAAAAAGAAGAAACACAATAGTTTTTGGTTTTCTGTTATTCCATAAGTTTCACTCAATATTTAGCAATTAACAGCCCATAACATACCAGACAAAGAAGAAAAAGAGATCCAGCAATGATCCATTTTCTCATTCTTGGAAATATTTCTATAAAAATTTTCAGTGAGCAACATACAATGGAATCGATCACAACATACCTGCAAGAGAGAGTGGGAAACAGAAAGATTTTTGTTGATTGGGGGTGAGGGAAGAAGCTTCGTTTGGTTTCCTATATTGGCTTACATCATGTGTCATTGAAATCACTTTGAACATTACTGCACCCTATCATTTAATGCTACATACTCTTCCCTTTTAACTCGCCTTGAGTTGCCCAGATATATGAACAATTTGATGAACCATATCTGATAGCTTGTAACACAGATATAAAAAATTCTAGCGTTAAAAAAGGCTAACAAATAATATCATAATCTTCTGGAAAATGGGCAACTACACCATAGTTTTTCAACGATATTAAAATTATGTCTATGGTTCATCCAAATTCTTTGAAAACATCCAAAAGAGACAAATTTAGATCATCCTAGAGTTAAAGGTACCAATATCACTTAAATTTTGGGGGAGTTGCTAATTCAAAAAAAAAATTCCACTTTGACTTTTGTCACTGTTTTCTGTTATGTGATGTCCATTACACTGTTCATGTTTCGGTAACAAGTGGTCATGGTTGTGACTTCTTGTGCACTTAGAAGCTATTATTTTCTTAAGGTTGTCAATTCGAATGGATATAACATTACATGTGGACAAATCTTTTCTTCCTAAAGTAGCACTACACAATGTAAGCTTTCATTTCTCATTTATAGCTGAATATTACTCAGTTTGGTATGTGTTTTTAGCTGCAGGAACCTTGTTACTCTCAGAAATGATTTTTTTTTATAAAGTAAGATATTAATTATAGCAACTTTTGTCAGGTCCCCAATTACGTGAATTGGTGAAATGGCCTCGGCCACTTCCTCTGGAAGATGAACGAATCCGCTTAATTCATGAGGTACTGTATTAGAGCTTTCAAATTGTTGGTTTTGTTTCTAATTCCTTTGTAGTTTTATGTAGTTGTAAATTTTCATTTTTTTTTCTCCCGTACATGTCTCAATATGTTTGATTTTACCTCTGTCTTCATTTCCTGAGGTTATTAACCAATCTAAAGAGAATAATTTGATGCCATGTTATAGGTTGGGTTTGAGCTGGAGAGAAGCTTTGATGGGAAGGCATCCAATCTTGTGGAGTCATGTAGCAAATCAGCTGTAAAGCTTGTCGCTCTTATTACTCGTCACTTTCCTGGTATCTCCATTTTCTGCATTTTTAATCACAACCATATGCCAATATGAAAAGCCTCTGAACGCTTTTTTCCCGCTACCATGAAGGAGATCACTTGATCGGAACTCAAAACTATTGTTGTTGTAGGGTTTCGAGATCACACAGTGTACAAAGGGCACCAGGTTTTCTTGTATAAAAGAGCTCAGATATTTGCCGCAGATTTATGGGGTGCGTTTAAGGGTCAAGAATATGGCGAATTCAATGACATAGGTTCAATTACCATATTTGCGGACTACATAGTCCCAGCAGTGCTTCACCAGCTTGGAGTACTTAGATATAGTTCAGCTTTGGCAACCATTATTGAGACAAACAGTGAAATTGTTTCGGGCAGTGAGGAGGAAGTGGAACTGCGAGCGTGCTCAGTATATGCTGTGGAGAAAATGAGGGAGTTGATCAGTAAAAAATCAGGAAAGCAGGTATGTGCTGTTTATACGTCATAATATTATATTACTTCTTTTCTCATTGCTGTTTTTAGAATCAATATAATTCTTCCTCAAGGTTATCAATTATTCTTTGATATACAATTATATTTGCATGAGGTGTATGATTTCGTTCATTTTACTGCATGAAAATAGAGTGCCTAATTTGCCCTAATACAAGCTTATATTTGATGTGAGATATAAAATATAAGAGTTCTTACAAATGTTGACCTTTTTAGATTCCGGTTGATTTCATTTGTCCCTTGGTTTTTTTTTTTGGCAGAAGAAATTGGAGAAAAAGAAAGAGATTTTCTTGACAACCTAATTTTAAAAGATCTTTGATCAGAACTGGTGTAGTCAAGGGAATCACTCATAGAAATATTTATGCTTCTGTCATGGATATTCTTAGTAAAAAAAATCTGTTCTCATCATTGTGTGACCACACTTACATAACATATACCTGTTTTTAGTTTGTCCATGGTGTTCCATAAGACCTCTTTGTCGTTATTTTGACCTGTCAGTCATACATATCCTTCTCTTTTCAAATTCTGAAAATTGTATTTGTGGTGGTTACACACACAAAAATACACAAAGAACGAAGTTTGCCAGTGGCATAATATATCTCCCATGCATATGTTGTGATTTTTTATTTGAAAAAAACTATTTATTTTGTTTGAAAAATTTGTTTTTTCTTTAATAAACTTCCACAGATTTTGTATTCCTTGTCTATCTCGCTTCCTAGTTCTTTGTACTTATTTCCATTGAAAAATCTGACCCTCCCCTTTGTCTCTTAGGTGTTGAGTGTGGAACTGGATCTTTGGTTGTGGTCTTTTGGCATCCAATGCCCATATCTCCAACACCATCGGACACTCTCTATATATTACTGAGCGGATCATATGCTGCTAGTAGCTTCTGTCAGGAGAGAAGAATGACATTTTGGAAATTTTGAGGTAGTTTAGTTGGACAGATTACACAATCAATATATGAGAGAAAAATGACATTTTGGAAATTTTGAGGTAGTTTAATTGGACAGATTACATAATCAATATATGACTTTCTGGTTTATGTTTTCTTGCTTTCTAATAGTGGTTCCTTGATTCTTTCAAAGATGCATCACTTTTAATTTTATATTCCTATAGGTTCCGGTAAAGATTCTTTTCCAGTCTATTTTGTAAGATTCATTTTCTCATGGTGGCAAATAAGTGCGTACAATGTTTTTTTTTTTTTTCCCTTTTTTTGGAGGTATCTTTAGGAACCTCAGTACAACCATCATTTGGTTCGGTGGATTTTTTTTTTAGCTCAGCCCCAACCTTGGGTGGGTACACCTCTTTGAATACTGTTTGCTGTACATTGCTGTTGGTAACGTCTGCAAAACATTGATGTGGTGAATTTGGATTCTGAAATCAGTTTAGACACCTGCAATCTTATCTGTAATATGTAATCTTAGTGTTGGTGATTGGTTTGTTGTAGATCTATATAGCAGTCAAATTGTGTTGCTGCTGATTATGTTGATGGCACAAAGGATAATCATATTCTTTGTTTTTTTTCATTCTTCAAGTTATATATTTTAGATTAAACTTCTGTCTCTCTTTTTTGTCATATAGAATTTCGTTGCTGCCACCATACTGTTTCCATGAGTAAAGTAGCACATTGACTAGGGACCCAGAACATGAATTAATGTTGTAGTAGCGGTCATTGACTTGGAGGATACCGAGATGCATCGATTGTGGTGTGGTTTTGGATGATACACGAATGCTACATGTAATAAAAAGTTGGATACGGCAAGAGATTAAGGCAATATCACAACAATGCAAAACTATAAAAGGTCGATACGTTGCGAATTGATGATGAGGACTTGATCGATTTGTTCTAGACGTTTTCAAGTTAGCCATGAGTCAAGTGAAAAACGTGGTTTATATGGAACGTGTGTCGGTCTTTGTATGGAATATGTCGTTTTGGATATGGCTTGGTCAGATTGTATCAGTATCTACTGACATTTTGAACCATTGTCTAGAAATCTCAAGGAGATGAAATATCTGCGCTGCGTGTATTTTTTAATTAGTGTGAAATCCAATTGAAATTTTCTCAAAGAGTGTAAGGTTGTGCATGGCAATGCTAGCTCACATTGAAAGGCTTACAATCAATCTTTTCCTAAATATTCATTTACATGATTAAAATTATAAACTGATATGGTAAATAAGAACAAATAGAAGATATTAAGGGTATTTCTTTCTTAAACTTCTTACAAATTTTATGTCATCAATGTAACACATATCCACTCCTTAACTAGAAAGCAAACTTTCCCCAGCTACATATCAATCTCCAAGTATAATTTTATTTCAGCATGCTTATCTGGCATGTAAGCTAATATTCAGCATATCACCTGCTTCTAGAGTTCTGGATAGCTCCCTGGGTAGCAGTTATTCCATGGCACAGGGGTTTTTTGTGGTTGGTAAATTTCCATCGTAAGTGCATTGTGGGATGTTTGGATTCCTTACAAGCCGGGGTGGGAGGATGTACCACTTGACCTTTAGCTAGTGGTTTTTTTGTGCACTATACTTATTCCGATGTCCATTAAAGATGAGTGCTCATATGCTCTACCCTTTTAAATTTTAAGATTTTAAGTCATGAATCTATGATACATTTCAGCATCATGTTGGATGTGTGGGAATTTGCTAATAAGAGTTTCTGTTGCTATATTGCTTCTTCTGTATTTGCATTTGTTGATGTTCAGTTTTTTTCGCGTTTGGGACATTTTTCGTTTCTCATTTCGTTGGCCTTATCCGGATAGATGTTGGGACTGGGATGGGCACAGGGGGTCCAATTAGTAGCAGTCATGAATTACAACCAGGATAACACACCAGCACAGTTTAAGAACCGTTTGATGGTATTCAAGTTTTATCAACTTATAATAGTGTTGGGACTGTAGCAGCCTTGTAAAAGTTGGAGTGATTTGATAGTTGTTTTTTCAATAGGCTATATTACTTGCAGTTGTCATAATTTTTGTGGAAGAGAAGCTGGAAGTAATTACCTGGTCAAAGGTGGCTGTTGGGATTGCAAGGGTGGCAACAGCATTGGGAGAATTGACTATTCCTGAAATCCTTCCTTCACAGGGACAGCCTGACAGTAGAAGATAAGCCTGTAGCCACCAGCATGTTATCTAGGTCAGTATTATAATGAAATTCTAATTTACCATGACTGTATATTTTGCTGCTTGAACATGTTGGGTGTGTTCTTAGATGAGCTATAAAGATGATGTCGGGAGATATTTCTCTAACCTGTTCTTTAGAGTACCCAAATCTTGACAGATAGCCAATCACGTTGAGCACTGCACGTTTGTGTTGTCTCCCACTTTCGTCCACACTTATGCCTTCAAATACCAACTCTTCTGAGAACCTTGGCTCAACAGGTCTATCTCGAATATTGGGTTGACATGTAGGGGAGTGGGGCCCATCGGAGTGAGGTATTCTTTCATGCCACCCCTTATGATTTCACACCTGATAACCAGTGGAATAATCCTAAAATAAGTTTTGAAGAAAAAATGGAATTGTGTTGGGAAATACTCGTAGCAATTGAATTANACATATCAATCTCCAAGTATAATTTTATTTCAGCATGCTTATCTGGCATGTAAGCTAATATTCAGCATATCACCTGCTTCTAGAGTTCTGGATAGCTCCCTGGGTAGCAGTTATTCCATGGCACAGGGGTTTTTTGTGGTTGGTAAATTTCCATCGTAAGTGCATTGTGGGATGTTTGGATTCCTTACAAGCCGGGGTGGGAGGATGTACCACTTGACCTTTAGCTAGTGGTTTTTTTGTGCACTATACTTATTCCGATGTCCATTAAAGATGAGTGCTCATATGCTCTACCCTTTTAAATTTTAAGATTTTAAGTCATGAATCTATGATACATTTCAGCATCATGTTGGATGTGTGGGAATTTGCTAATAAGAGTTTCTGTTGCTATATTGCTTCTTCTGTATTTGCATTTGTTGATGTTCAGTTTTTTTCGCGTTTGGGACATTTTTCGTTTCTCATTTCGTTGGCCTTATCCGGATAGATGTTGGGACTGGGATGGGCACAGGGGGTCCAATTAGTAGCAGTCATGAATTACAACCAGGATAACACACCAGCACAGTTTAAGAACCGTTTGATGGTATTCAAGTTTTATCAACTTATAATAGTGTTGGGACTGTAGCAGCCTTGTAAAAGTTGGAGTGATTTGATAGTTGTTTTTTCAATAGGCTATATTACTTGCAGTTGTCATAATTTTTGTGGAAGAGAAGCTGGAAGTAATTACCTGGTCAAAGGTGGCTGTTGGGATTGCAAGGGTGGCAACAGCATTGGGAGAATTGACTATTCCTGAAATCCTTCCTTCACAGGGACAGCCTGACAGTAGAAGATAAGCCTGTAGCCACCAGCATGTTATCTAGGTCAGTATTATAATGAAATTCTAATTTACCATGACTGTATATTTTGCTGCTTGAACATGTTGGGTGTGTTCTTAGATGAGCTATAAAGATGATGTCGGGAGATATTTCTCTAACCTGTTCTTTAGAGTACCCAAATCTTGACAGATAGCCAATCACGTTGAGCACTGCACGTTTGTGTTGTCTCCCACTTTCGTCCACACTTATGCCTTCAAATACCAACTCTTCTGAGAACCTTGGCTCAACAGGTCTATCTCGAATATTGGGTTGACATGTAGGGGAGTGGGGCCCATCGGAGTGAGGTATTCTTTCATGCCACCCCTTATGATTTCACACCTGATAACCAGTGGAATAATCCTAAAATAAGTTTTGAAGAAAAAATGGAATTGTGTTGGGAAATACTCGTAGCAATTGAATTAATACTTAGATGAGAAAATAAATAAAATAAACCAAAACACACAATGAAAGACAACACAAATATTTATGTGGTTCGACAAAATTCTTGCCTACTTCCACGAGGCATGATCTGATCTCCCACTTCATTATTGCAAAAAATTGAGTATAATGGTACAAGTTTTGCCACTCAAATTTTATACCTTAAACCCGAGCTTTTTACACCCTCGCATCCTCACTTAACTCACCCACTCAATACATAAAGAAAAGGAGAGTTTTTCTATTAGACTCTCGTTTTTATCACTGAATTTGGATCCCAGAATGCAAAGATTGCAAGCCTATTTATAGGTACGAGGGTCCATGATAATTTCTTAATAATTGCCTAAACCAAGGAACTTGGTACAAGGCCAAGAGATTAGGTTTAGAATTACCAATGGTAAACCTCTAGCATCTTTTCCACTAGGTCATTGTGTTTCATCTGTCTCTACTTCTATTGAGATTTTTTCTGCATGAGCCTCCACCTGAGCATCATCCTCTCCTCGTTGATTACCACCTTTCGTGTAATCGAATCCCAAAGTTTATGCCCTTTTATACCTTTTTCATGATTGACAAATATGCACTGTTTGGACTTTGGGTTCAACTTGGAGGGCTACTCCTCTTGCATGTGAACATTGGCCAAACAACCAAATATTTTAAGATTAGAATAACCAACTGATTTACCTGTCTAAACCTACTCAGAGACTTATGTATTAATAGCTGAAAATTGTCTATATATTCTCATACATCTTACTCTCTTTAAAAGGGTTTTATTCATTCTTTCTGCTACACTATTTTGTTGTAACCTACCTCGTGTAGTATAATGTCAAAGATCTCTTTTGTCTCGCAATATCTTTGAATTCTTGGGGTGTATACTCTGTTCTGTTATCCGTCCGTAGGTACTTGACTTATTTTCCAGTTTGCATTTCAACATCTGCTTTCCATTGCTTAAAATTTTCCAATACTTCATTTTTGTGCTTCATGAAGTAGATCCATACTTTTTTGGAGAAGGCATTAATAAATGTCGTAAAATATACTACTCCTCCTTTACATGAAATTGTCACTAGTCTCCACATGTTAGAGTATATGTACTCCAACACATCCTTACTTATATGCCGCGCTGTGTTGAAGCTAACCTTACCTACACTATTTTCCATATAAATAATACTTGTAACAATTAAGTTTACAAGTTTTTATCCCACAAGCAAACTATGCTGATGAAGTTGCTGCATACCTTTCTCACTAATATAGTCAAGGCGTAGATGTCATAAGGTAGCGTCATCAGTGCTTGGATCCAATGGAGTGGTTACAACTGTCCCATCTATAATAGTACTCCCTACAAGGTTAAACGGTTCCCTTTCATGATAACCATGACACCTTTAACAATTTTTAGAACCCTATCTGTTGTCGTAAAGGTGAAACCATTTGAATTAAGTGAATCCATAGAAATTATTTTTTTTTAAGGTTAGGGACATGTTGCACATCGCCTAGTGTCTTAGTCTTCTAACAATACGATCAAACATTTTAATTTGATGGCCCAACAAATTGAATCATTATCCATTAGAATTGTTCCCCCATTATAGGGTTTATAAGTATTAAATCATTCCTTATATGGACGCATATGATAAGAACATCCAGAATTCACCTAGATAATTCATACCTATGAGGCTTTGATGACTTATAATAAATTACCATTTCCGTTCAAAATATCTGTGCAATGCCCGCTTGAACTGAATATGGAGATTGTGCTTTGATTATAGTTCCTCCATATGGCAATATCAACACTTGTATTTCCCGCTACTCCTCTATTTTGATTTGGAGCATGATCTCCCTCCTCTATGGTTGCTCCTTACATGTTGTTGCCTTATTCAATTTTGGCCACTAACCCTTATACTTGAGAACTATTTTCTGGCTTTTTGAGTGCCACAATCTCTAAAAGAGTCGTTATTACATCATCAACGCTGAGAGTGTCTTTTCCAACCAAAAGTGTAGTCACAAATGCATCAAAGGGATGTGAAAGAAAAGCCAATAGAAGAATGTCCTTATCATCTTCTCCAATTTTCACATCAACATTTATAAGTTGAGTAATAATTTTGTTGAAAACATTGAGATAATCCATACCATTTATTCATTCTTTCATCCGTAATTGATATAACTAATTTTTCAAGAAATAAATTATTTGTGAGCGATTGTGACGTCTAAATATTTTTTAACTTTTTCCATAACGATTGAACATAAGTTTTAGATAAAGACTATATTTTACCTTCGGGGCGAGACCTAAACGGATTGTGCTCACAACTTTCATCTCAAATTCTCTCGATCTTCATTTTTAATGGATATCAGTTTCTTTTTTGTGCCGGAAAGTGCTTTGGATAGCTCTTTCTGCACCAAGATGTCTTTAACCATGCTTTGTTAGACACTAAAATTATTTTTTCCGTCAAAACGCTCCACCTCGAATTTGCCCATCAAGATTCCATTTTTTGCCATTGTATTGAGTACTGATAATTAATAACAACGTGTATTGTTCTTAATTCTAACCTTTCCGTATTGAACCTGGAGGCTTTAATATTACTTGCTAGGAAATACTCGCAACAATTGGATTAATACGATGACAAGAAAATAAATAAAATAAACCAAATTAGACAAAGAAAGATAAACAATATTTACTTGGTTCAGTAAAGTTTCGGCTTACATCCACAAGGCATGATCCAACCACCTTCTTCACTATTGAGAAAAATTGAGTACCAATGGTCCAAGCCTCTCACTCAAATTTTGTACCCCAAACTTGAGTTTTTACATCCACCCTTATACACCTCACTCAACTCACCCATTCAATACATAAATAAGAGTATAATTTTTCTATTGGGCTCTCGCTTTTCTCACCAAATTTGGATATTAGAATTCAAAGATTGTAAGCCTATTTATATTTTATAAGCATGAGGCTCCATGGAAATTTTGTAATAATTGTCAAAACCAAGGGAAATGGTATAAGGTCAAGAGATCAGGTTGAAGACTTTCCAACCTTACGTTTTCTTCATTTTTGTTCTTATTGCAATTTTGGCTCCGCATCGTTTGTTGAATTTGGAGCCATCATAGTTAGCAATTGGGTTAATACGATGATGAGAAAATAAATAAATAAAAGAAATCAAAACACTCGAAGAAAGACGATATCGATATTGAAAAGGTTCGACAAAATTCCTGTCAATGTCAACGAGGTATGATCTGGTCACTTTCTTTACTGTTGAGAACAATTGAGTACAATAGTACAAGCTTCACCACTCAAATTTAATATTCAAAACCGGAGTTTTAAGCCATTGTACACCCTACGTAACTCACCCACCAATACCTGTAATGTAGACAAGTACTAAACTCTCTATCTCAAAATTGTATGCTAGAAATTTAAAGTTTCAATGCCTATTTATAAGTAAATGCTACAATGGCAATATGGAAATGTTTGCAAGAGGACAAAGGCAATTTTGTAGTGAATGACTTCTTTTTCATGGGCCCTCCATAGATCATTTCAAAGATAAGCATTGCATTCTCCTTCGGCGTAGTGTTCCTCCAATCTGGCACCCAAACAATTGTCCACCGGTTATGACTTCGAGCCATCAACTGCAATAAATTTCCCCCTTGGCGAGAATTAAATAACCTCCACATGAAACATCAAGTTCTCATCTTGATATAGATGCCCATTTCCATGCCTTGGGATGTTTCGTCAATCTAACTATTCAAGAAATTGATCAAGTCCAAGCAATGCTTGAACTTCTGTGTAGTAACCCACTTTGTCATAATATCAGCAACATTGTTTTCTATATAAACTTTTATCAAATTCACCTTCCCTTCTTCCGACCATTCTCTGAGAGCGTGATACTTAACATTGATGTATTTCGTCATGACATGATAAACTTGATTCTTTGCCAAATGAATAGCACTTTAGTTGTCACGATACAACTCTAAGCTAGTTACTACACAAAAGCTCAGGCATTGTTTGGACTTGATCAATGTCTTGCACTGGTAGATTGACAGGACGTCCCAAGGCATGGAGATGAGCATTTGCATCAAGATGTGGACCTTATATTACAGGTGGAAGTTATTGAGTTCTCGCCATGGGGGAGATTTGTTGGACGGTGGTCCAAATTCAACAACTGACGCAGAGCCAAAATTGCAACAGGAACATAAATGAGAAAACGTGAGGTTGAAAAGTCTTCTCCCTGATCTCTTGGCCTCGTACCGTTTCCCTTGGTTTTCATAATTATTATGAAATTGCCATAGAGCCTCATGCCTATAAATAGGCTTGCAATTTTTGCATTCTAGCATCTTGACATATTCTGTTTGGTGACAGTTTTTCTATGGCATGTACATAAATAAACCCTTCATGCACATTTCCTATTGTTCAAAATACATCTCTTCCATTTAGGTTTATGATTAGAGTGAAGGATGACTTCTGTAGGAGTATTTTTTTAGGATCATCTAGATGAAAGGGCCACCTAGACTGCGATCCTTGTTTTAAGGTCTTTTAACATTGGTTTTGTAAGTAGAAGTCTTGATCACTCTTGGGTCAACTAGTGCATCTATTTCTCCAGCAAATTTTGTTGTGATGATTGTCGAACATATTTCTATCTTGGCATTGCTGATACTGTACCCCTAGGCTTTCGATTTTCTCAAAGGGTTGTTAGTGAGGTGGTGGTGTTATGTATTACTTGGCATGGGCACATGAAATGTGCAGAAGTACTCGTGCTAGGCAATGACATAACTAGGGTATGATATCAGATATGTGCTTGACATGACACCAGTCTGACGTGTATCCTACGGGCATGTTTGACTAAGGGAGGGAGGAGAAATTCAAATTCCTTGAAGACTAATGGAAAACTTGCTTGATCATTTTTATGATATTGTATTGGAATTCTTTGATTGATACCAATGTTTAATTCTATGTCCTGGAGAAACTTTGTTCTGCCATAGGATATGTAATGTTTTAGGAAATCGCGGATACCAGCTTACTTTAATCTTTTGCAAAGCTGAAAACTTTTAGTGATGAATCACTAGGCTTTGATATTTTAAATTGCTAAAACAATATTTATTTGTAAATATGTGAATTCAATTTAATCTATGTTTCGGATACAACCTTACACTAAGGTAGTTCGTTGATAAGAGATATAGTCAGCTATTGCAGTCTCAAATTTCAGACCCTCCAATACAGATCACAGGAAAAAAAAAACACAGCTAATAGGAAAGGCACTGAATATTTTCACAACTAAGGCAAGTCATCATACACAACCAAACATAGTCCTTTGTCTTCCAATTTAGAGATTAGGTGAATCAGACCCACCACATTTTTCATTGAACATAAGTTAGGAGTTAACTTGGTTGGTGTGGTTCCTGAAAAGTATGCTTCTTAAAAGGGCTGTTATACTGAATCTTTGACCTGACCAATTCACTCACATGCTTGCCTTGTGTGTGTGTATGTGCATGTGTAGCATGTGTTGGTGCCAATACCAGAATGATCACTACAATCGTTTGACTGAGTTGGTTTACGCAGTTTTATCAATATTGTTTTTAGGTTATTTCCCGAAAAAAACATTGTGTTTAGGTTTCCCTAGGTCAACAATTCACCTTACTATTAAATTGTCAGTGAAATTTTGTTTGGACATCAAAACTTGATCTTTTCACTCCTTCCTAAAGTCACTACATTATCTTTGATCTCCCGAGAATAAAGTTGACATTTACAGGATAAGAAGTGAATGCTTTCAAGTGTAAAAGACAAAAGAAATCCTTAACTTTTTAAATACTTGATTTCACGCGTAGTTGGTACTTGTTTGAGGAATGAAGCTGAGTCACTTAACTAGGAACCCAACTATAGTTTGAAGTTCGTGTAGAGTTGAAATTCTATGCCATACAGATTTACCATTGCTACTTTTACATTGATGACTTCACATTATGTTTATCTCACTGTTCTGTGGCATTTTTATTTGTTGCTATGTTAATGTAATGATCCCATGGGAACTATTCTTTGAACCACACACACACACACACATGTATATTTACCTTGAGGATTCCAGAGTAATCATAAAGTGATAGAGAAGAGATGAAATTTACTTGAGCTCTAAAAAACCACTCATCTCGATTGCCCCACAGAATGCGACTTCGCCATCGCCTTGAGAAGAATGCATGTCCCCAGTGCTGAAATTTGCTCCATCCACAAATACTGGTAGGTATATTTTTGAACCTCTACTGAGATTTTTTATGTCACAATTTCCTCCATTTTCTCTTCCTGGAATTGTCCTTGCAGCCACCTTAGCAATCTTTTCCCATTCAGGAGTGCCCTCTTGAATCTACACACAATAATTAGGTGCTAAAATAACCCTTTTCTGCTGGTAGAAAGTTGGATAAGTTGCAGTTTACCAGCTTTATTTGTTAGGGTGATTTACTTTCAAGGAAAATTAAGGGAAAGTTTACTGGAAGGATCAAAGTTTGGGAGAATTGATACAATTATACTTTTTGCTTTTATATTGAAAGAGTCCAACCTTGCCAAGAAAACACCCTTTGGTCGAGGGTAGGTTTGCCAGTGTTCATGAATGCAAAACCTCACATAACTTGAGAGACTGAAGTCCAGTTTCTTCAAGATTTCTGTCCCTTTCATTCCATATCTGAAGCAGTTCCATTGAAGGTGCAGTTCCAATTATTCCGGGGTGAGTCAAACCCGGAAATCGTACCCCTGTCATGCAGCAGAAAGTGCATGAGTAGCAGAAGGAGATAGGTAAAAATTTCACCCGGGGCATACTGGATAGGCATAGGTTATTCACAAATAATTGCGTCAGTGTACAATTCAACTTAGTAATATAGTTTGTTCAACAATAAGGGGGCGTATATGAATTTCTTTCATAGACAACTGAAATCCTCCTAACTGTGCGATCTTTGGACTTGTGGTTACGAAGTAAACTTAGAATGCCCATAATTACATGCATCTGGCCAGCTAGGGTGTCTCTTATACAATTCGAACTTGGGGACATGGTGCATTAATTATTGAAATGCTACTATCTGACATTCCTGGACGGATTATATACTTATTTGTTCTTCTAGGCACATAGCAAGAAAAAAAGGGTGGAAAATATACCTGGTATATGAGGAGAGTAGGCATATATTCCTTCAAAATACCAGATAGCTTTGGTAGCGCAAGGAAAATGGTCAGTTAGAAAACTACCACCATTTTCTCTGTCAAATATTGCTGTAAAACCCCATTCATCTCCTGGTAGAGGACCCAAATTGCATATTTCTACTACTAGAAGATCACCTGGCTTGGCGGGAGTGCCATCTACATCTACAACCCTGATGGGCCCACTCATATAATGCACCTGAGACAGTTATCAAAAAGGTCATTATCAAGAACAGTCAAAAATTCCTTTAATCAGTACTACTACTATTATTATTTTTTTTGATTGAATATCTGTACTATTAATTGGGTAACCATTCAGAGATGTAAGTTTTAAGAAAAAGAAATGAGGTGAAACAGTATACTGTTAAAAAAAAATAATGGGTACATTTTCATTTTTTTTTGTTGATATTGTGGTACGACAACAAAACCTCCTAAAATACATGAAGACCCCTAGTATTTTAGGGATCATCTAAAAACCTCCTAGAATTTGTGTACTGCAACAAAAATATCCTCTCAATATTACATATGTATAGTGTGATTAGATATAGTTCCTCTGAAGTCTGAAGTGTAATTTGGAAATACCTATGTTAAGTTTTGAAAGTCCCTGTTCAACATACTACAGGAAGTAGAGTTGGTAATTACAGTTGAGAGGTCTAGGATTTTAACATCCATTGCAGAGTTATCATCTTTAATAGCACCTCCTATCCAGTCTAGCATCTCTATCTTGAATACCTCACCGGTTTTAACCTCGGCGACCGGCGGTATTTCTGGGTGCCAACGATTGTGAAGAGGTTGCTTCTGCTCCCATGGCTTCTTCCTTGGGTCTATGGGAACTACTAGTCTTGAAGTTGGAGGAGCCATGGTGGGATAGAGTGGTAGTTTGGACGAGAAACTTATGTAGGCTAATCTAATGGTATCGGAGCAAGATGGTCGTTGACTGAAGTGGGTTGGTGGGACCTTTTTGGAATGGTCCCCATACATTTCAGTAAGAGACAAATATGTTGGACACTTAGTTCTTATATCAAACAGGACTTTTTGATAATAAAGCAGGTATGAAGGTTATTTTCTATTGTAGAGCTTTTGTTTCTTAAAATAGTGGGTTGTAAACAATTCAGAAATAAAATAATTATAATAAAATCTCAAAGTTGTGAAAGAAACTAGGGGAGGGTCAGCAAACTTACAAATATGCTATAGGAAAAGGATAAAAAAATAACTCCCATTTAATCCTTAGTTGCTTGTTTAACTGTCGAACAAAGAAGGAGGGGTACAAGCACATTTGGGTTCAAGTTTCTCTGATCGAGATGATTATTGAGATGAATTTCCACCACCTCTTATTTGCCATCTTTATGTTTTGTGCTTACCAAGTGTGCTTAGTAGTTCAGTATATGCTGACAGTGACCTAGAAGATAAGGTAAATAAACTCACAGTAGAGATGTCAGCATGTTTGATATCTTCAGCAGTGTACTCCTTGGTAATGCCACCACCACTGCAATCCACCTTCTTAACCCTGAAAACCTCTCCAACTTTGACCTCTGCAACTGGGGGTATGTCTGGGTGCCATCGTTTGTGAAGGGGAAGTTCTGTTCTCGTGGCTTCTTCTTCAAATCTATGGGCACCACCAGTCTTGCACCCTGTAGAGCCATGGCTTTACTCTAATCTTTTTTTCTTTTTTTTTTTTTTTT